AACCAGGTGGGGGCCGCGCTTGCCTGCAGCGGTGAGAGGCTGAGGGGGTGAGCCCTGGTCCTGCAAGCCGGGCAGTGCCGGGCTGGGGCTGGCAGCTTGCCTGTGGCTATTCGGCGGACCAGCACTCAAGGTCAGAGCGCTCGCAACTGGTGGGTTTGCTGGGGCCTTTTGGCATCCAGCGGGGGTTGGTATGCACAAGGACAAGGAGGGTGTTGCCTCAGCAGGCTCTTGTTCCTGTCCTCTGCAGAGCCGTGGGCCTTGCACTTGGGCGCTGTTGAATGGTTGCCAAGCGGGGCATGACTGCGTGCAGCTGGTTATCTCAAGCAAAGGAGGAGAGCTAGCTAGTACTATCTTTGGATACTGATCACAGTGCAGTCTGGCTACTACTTCTGAGGCAGCTTGATCACCTTACAAAGATCCTTCGATCCGGGTGCATGCATAATAGCCTGAGCAATTCTTGCAGGGTTCTGTTCACTGAGCCTTAACTAGGGACCTCTTCACAAGTGTGCGTCTGATAGCTGAAGGAAGTAAAATTGAGCTCCACCTCAAGCAGGCTACCTTTAGTGTGCATTGCAGTGCTGGTGTTGCTTTATGTTTGTAGCATGACTTAACTGCTAAGTCTCCACGGCCTTTCAGAAGAACTGGGCGTTTGCTTTTTTGTTTGGATGTTTGTTTTCCATCAGCCTGCCAAAGGGTGCCTGGCAGGTATCAGTGAGACAGTTCCACTGAAACTGGCTCTTGTGGGGAGGTTTTGAAAGCAACTGCTTTTATTTCAAAGACTTCATAAGAATATTGTTATACATGTTGCAGCAATACCTGTGTTCCTCTGGGTGCTGCTTGTCAGAAGGTTTTGCTAATTCAGTTCCTTGAATGTTTCAGGCTGTATTGATAGGCTAAAGGTGAAGTTACTGTAGCTGTTACTCTTTAGACTGCAGTGGTGCAGGGGAAGGGGGGCAATTGCTGCATGTTCATTCCTCCAGTGACAAGCCAGCTGTGAAAAAGCTGCTTGCCTCTTAGGTTAGCTGATCTCTTCTGAGAGAAGATTGTAGCACCAGGTCTGGCCTTGAACAGTTGCTGGGACAAGATTTCTTCCCTTACTTTTGTCATGAAAACACCAGTGTTGTGTCAGAAGTTCTTCTCTTCTGCAGGCTGCTGTGAAGCTCTCTTTAGATCACTGCAAAATAGGGTAAATTTGGGGGGAAAAAAAAAAAAGATAAAAACCTGCCTTCTCTGTATTGTGAGCCCTGCTTTCAACTTGTACCCCTGGGAAGAGGTGTGTTCCTGAAATAGTCACTTAAGGGGGAGGGAATGACTGTCTCTCAGTAGCCTGGCAAGTGCTTGCATGATTCTGAAGGGCCTCAGTACTCATGCTCTGTCCTAAATAAAGAAGCTGGGTGTTTTCATAATGCCTCCTTCTCAGGGGGCTTGGTTTTTTAAACACAGCCTGAGGTTTCAATTACATGTTGAATTACTATCTGGCTTCTAAAGCAACCTGAAAATTAACTACTTTGTTACAGACAAACCTTCCAATCTTCAAACTGAAGGAGTCCTGTGTGAGGAGACGATACAGTGACTTTGAGTGGCTGAAGAATGAGCTGGAGCGAGACAGTAAGGTGAGGCCTCCTCAGACCTGCCAGCTCCTGACGCCGTGACATACAGGAGCGGCCGTAGCAGTAACCTTGAGCTGCCTAGGACAGGGGCTGTGGTGGGCAGCTATTGGGGTTTGATGTCTGTCCACACAGTAGGTCTGGAGGTGAGTGTCCAATGGCACAGGCTATCTGCCTGCAGGTGACAGGGTCGTTCTGTGCTTTCAGATTGTCGTGCCACCGCTGCCTGGAAAAGCTTTAAAACGACAGCTTCCCTTCCGAGGAGATGAAGGCATCTTTGAGGAGTCCTTCATCGAGGAGCGGAGACAGGGGCTAGAACAGTTTATTAACAAGTAAGTTCGATGTCCCAGGTGTGCAGCCTTCTGGCTGCTGCCAGTGAAAGAAGGCTGTGGGCTGACTGGGAAGGAGTCTTGATCTGCTGTATGCAGGTGCCACACTAGTGGATGGGGCCTGTAGCCAGGTAATGAAACCGTGGTTCTGAAGCAAGACCTGCTTGGAGTGTGGGTTGTGTTCAGTGCTCTCTTCTGAGAGAGAAGTGGGTATTTAGCAGAGCTGCTGTGCTGAAGAGACCCACCAACAGGATGCTCACACCCTGCTGTGGGGCATGGTATGGGAGGGAACACTGTGCTCAGCCACTTCTTCCTGGCCCAGCTGCACACTGATCTGGTGGCCTTGGCCTGAGCCCAGTGTGGGTGTGCTTGGAGCTGGTGGCCTTGGTGGTGGCCATACTAACCTCCACATGTGATTTTCTTCCAGAATTGCTGGACATCCACTGGCACAGAACGAGCGCTGCTTACATATGTTCCTGCAAGAGGAGACTATTGATAGGAATTACGTCCCAGGGAAAGTGCGCCAGTAGGAGCACCTGACACTGTCTTCCTCCATTCCACCCTCCCTCCTGCAAAAATGACATTTATTTTTACACTAAATCTGTCTTCTCTGAACCAGCTTTTCCTCTCTTGAACCTCCCAGTTTGTTCAGTATTCTCCTCTTTTGTAACTGGCAGCAACTTGTTCCACTGGGATGTGGTCTTGGCCTAAAGGTATGAAGATTTATGCAAGTGATCGTGTTGTCCTGCACCTAGGGGCAGATGTGAGTAGGTGTGGAGCAGGATCTTGCTTATAGTGTTATGGTGTAGGAGCTGCCTCTCTTTGTACAGGAAGGTATGAGACCTTCACTCCTCTGTCCATGCAGCCCCAAGCATCTCTGCAGGAAGAACTGCCTCTGAAGAACAGCAGTTGTCATGTTGGTCAGTGATTGCATCAGGTATTAGGAGTTTTAGTAAGGTTTATCCAAAACAGTGAGTAGGTGCCTGGGTGTCTTGGTCTCTCATCCACCCTGCATGAACCCCCCATTCTTCACTGTCTGGAAGCGCTGAGACCCAAGACCTACTCTAACCCTGCTCTCAGCCTCCTGCATTACAGACCTGTTTGGTGTATTCATGTTAATCCCCCTCCTTTCTAATGTGCTGCTGGCAGCTTGAGGGGTTTCCATGATGTGTGCTCTCACGGTGCTCTGTGTGGGCAGTCTGTTGTGTGGAAGCTTGGGCAGCCTGGGCTGTGGTGTTGGGTGCTGCAATGCCTTGGCTCAGGGTTTTAAAAAATGCCACAGCTTGCTCTACCACAAGCTGAATGCGGTGGTGTTTCTAGCAGCACCCTGCTCAGCTGAGCTGCAGTGACCCTATCCTGTGTCCCAGCTGCTGAAGGGAGAAGATGGGTCTGGCTGAGGAGGAGCTGGTGGGGGCTGTTGTAGTGTGCAGCCATCATGGCTCCCACAGGAGGAGCCTGTCAGTGTGGCCTGGGGTGAGGCCACTTCTCCAGAAATGGATGGCAGAAAATGGTCAGACAGTCCTGGTTTAGACATTTGCATACAAAGCAATAGAGGTAACAATGACTTTGTGTGCTCTCCCCTGTTCTGAAGTGAGCTAGGCAGTTACTTGTGTGGAAGCGAGGGCATGAGACTGATCAGAGAAGTGTTCAGAGCTTGAGGGGGACCACGAGGCTGTGACTTGCTGCAGCAGAACTGCCCTTTGGAGGCTCCTCCTGCTTGACATAAGTTAGGTTGGGCCCCAGCTAGGGGACTCCTCAGGTCAAGGCTGGCTGGTTTAGAAGTGCTTGGTCACTTTATGGTGGCACAGTTGAGCCTTTCATGGAGCACAGGCCTGCAGTGACTGCCCTCCCATTCCAGCCAAGTGTGTCCCCCAAGGCCTCCCTGACGTCTCTTGGGTTTTCTGGTGAGGAACTGGTGCTGCTGGGAGAGAGGTGGCCCTTGAGGAGATGTCGCTGAAACCAGGAGGGAACTCCCGCGGGGGCCGGCTCGGCCCAGGAAGGGCTGTGGGGCAGCACAGAGGCCGGTGCTGGCGGAGG